ACGCTAAAACTGTTTATAAAAAGTTTTTGTTTTTCAATAATATCATTGATTGAATATGAATTTTTTGAGTGCTTGAAAATTTTTGTAAAGTGCTTGAAAAGTTTTTAAAAAGTGCTTATTTTTGATTCAAAGATTTGGTTACGCACCCTGTTTAAAAATAAAACTCAATTTTTATGTGTAAGATTTTCAACTCGAGTCAAAGGAAGCCTCAGGTACTATTCTTCTGTCTCCCACTTTTGGGTAATAATAAAAGCTAGTAATTTTTTTAAAGTATTACAGATTTTTAAAAATTAGTAATTAAGCATGGGATAAATATTTCTATATGACTCATTGTAAAGAGATTAATTTTTAGCTTATAGATGCATTTTTTCTTGTAAATAGCATTTTTAAAAGTGCTTATTATTGATTTATGTTTTTTAAGAGCCCTTTAAGGTGCTTTTTTTTATTCAGGGTTTATAAAAAAGGCTTAATTTTCTATCTTTTAAAAAGAGATTTTTTCTTTGCCATGTCGAATTGTCATTCCAAATTACAAAAAATGTAGGATTTTTTCTGCAATATTTATCAGAAACCAGTTATTTTATCATGATTATGTAAAGTTTTTTAAAATGTTTTTAAATTTTATTGATTTTATTTTTATAAATTAAGAGCTTTAAAAGATAGGAAAAAATAATTTTTATTAGTGCACAGATCCTAATTATGATTTTTTTTTGTAAAGTGATTAATAATATTTTTTGAGTGCTTAAAAAGTACTTAAGGTGCTTATTTTTTGTTGAAAAATCTGTCTATGCACCCTGAGGTTAGATTTACATTCTATACTGTTTTCCAGGAGTGAATTTTCTTTAGATTATGTTATATATTGAGTTTAATTGTTTATTTTTTGCTTAAGCTTCTTAATAAACTTTATTCGATTAAATAGATATATTGTGGCAACAATTTTAATTAAGTATCAAACTTGATCTTATGGCTGCTGTTTATTCTAATTTGTTTGGCAGTGAAAATAGAAAAAAATGTTTTCAGAAATAACATATGTTAAGCTTTTTATTTGCGCCCAGGTGCTTTAGTTTGTAAATTAAACTTTTTAATGACTTTTTTTCTATTAGGGAAGATTGGAAACCTGTCTTAACAATCAATTCTATAGTCTATGGATTGCAATACTTGTTTTTGGTAAGTATGTCCTTATTAAATCATAGCTATCAATGCTAAATTTAAATTTGTAATTCTTTTCATTTATGAGATTTTTTGTTAGGTAAAAAACAAAGTGAGAATTATTTTTAGGGGTATTCTTAAAGGTTATTGTTTGAGCTATTCTTAGCTTAGTTCTGAAATCATTAAAGGAAATTATGCTTAAAATAATTATAGAATATTATATAATATTTTAAAATAAAATTTTTCTTTAAACGTTCCCCATGTTATTTGAGCTTTCCCTATTCTAATGAATTCTCCACCCATAGATACTCTATTGTCTCTGCTGCAAAATCGGCTACTGAAAAACTTATTAGACCATCTCCTCTAGATTCCAATTTGTTCTTATAATTACGGGTTTTAATAATGTATCCCAACAAATTTAACAATCATTATAATGTTTTAATCTGGGATTATTTTGAAACCGTGAGAAAATGTTTACTGCATAGAATTTGTTAGGTCTTGTATGGCCTGCTATAAATGACAAACATTCGGAAACATATCTCTATGGCAATTTAATCATGCAATCCAGCTCATCGCTATTTTGTGGCACTGACTCTTACTATATTAAATACCCTTCGAAATAGGCAAAGACGTAATGGGAAATTTTAAATGCTCATATTTTTTACATACTTCCTCAATGTGTTGGATTTGGTGTACAACTAAATACTTATCTAACTCTTCAAATTCCTCCCGTAAAAGACCTTTAGTTTTCCCAAGAACTTTAATATCGAATTTGTGTATTAACTTAACACCTCGTCTATATCACTCTTAGTTTTGCCCAAAATTACTATATCTCCCACGTAAACCAAAAGTATTACTGAATTTCCACAATACTAAGTACATTTACAACTATTTACTCTATTTAAACAAATTTTACTTAAAGTTTTTAATTGGAAAAATTATTTAGCATTAAATAGTTGGGAATTAATTAATATGGAGAATGGGATTTAGATACTAATTGCCAACAATTGACACATTTCATTCGGGATGATGCTGTTGTAAAATCACGTCGTTTCTGATTGTTTTTTCCTGAGAATCTACCATTGAACTATTTTGTGCGATCTTTTTTATTAAGTGAAACTTCATGAAGTCGTTTTTACGAATTTGAATTTTGTGAAGGAACAGTTTTTATAAATAATAATTTTATAAGAAGGCTAATTTTTATAATTTGAATATTGTGAAAGTGTTAATTTTGAATGTTGTGAAGAGGCTGCAAAACGTCCCTAATATTCAGCCTGATTAATTCCTGGTATCTGTTCCAAAAATTTATTTTTTATAATAAATGGACAGATGTATTGCGCTTTTTTAATCCTTTGTTTTTATTTCACGTTATTTATTACATTTAAGGATGACAGAAGATAGTTACATAATTTGCATTTTCCTTTTGTTTCCTGTATGTTTTTGCCGTCTTGTTTTCACTCTGAATTATGTTTATATCTCTAATTTATTTTATAATAGAGAGAAAAATAAGTTCCACTTTTTTTTAAACATCCTGTACTTGTCTTATTTATCTTTAATATTTTCCCTCTTGAAAATTTGAAGACAATAAAGCTTACTTTTTGTATTGTTGATCATTTTACTTTCAATTGGGTTTAATTCCTATTAATTTTAACATTAGCTTTATATTTTATAACACTCTTGTTTTTGAATACTTTAGCTTTGTAAAGACAATGTTTATATTTTGATTTTTTCTTCATAATTAAGGGTCAAACCTTCTTTTATCGCTTCTTTTTTATAAAACAAATTTGTTTTAATTTTTTGTGAATATAAAAAATTGAAAAAGGAAAAAATATTCATCACTATAACTGGATATGAAGACAATCTAATCCAGTTACCCAATCTTGATAATATTTCTAAGAATAAAACAGAAAAATATGACAACTGGATAAGAAGACAATCTTATCCAGTTGTCATATTTTTCATGTTTTATTCTTAGAAATATTATTTAATTTAGTTGATTAAATAAGATTTTAATTACTATCTAATTCAGAATGCTTATATATTTCTTAGCTCCTTTAGAGGTTGAAATGTTAACTATAACTATAAATGTTAACTAATTTTAAAGTTGAATTTTGTTTGCAAGGCTGTCTGAGATCATAGCTAGTTCTGTGGACAATTTTTCCCCCCACTCAGGTCTTTAATTTAGCCTTGTCTATGAGAGTGCAACAAGTGGAGTACCTTTAAGCTTTCAATACACCAATTCCCACCATTGCGGCATCATAGCCTTGCACATCCACTCCTTTCAGTGACTGCAAAAGTATCTCAAGAATGGGGTGGGGGGCTCTCTCCCCTCTCCCTGTATATGTGTGTGTGTATATATATATTCATATTTATACAGTACCGGTCAAAAATTTAGACTCACTCTTGAATTTTTAAAAATTAACAAATAACAAGGTTTTTAAACTGAAAATCACAGAAAATTAACTTTATTTTGACAAATATAGGTACACTTATGTGGTAAGAAGTATAATTTTATGTATTATCTATGAATTTCGTCCAATCTTTAATTCTTCAAAATATCTTTTTTTTGCCTTAATCACAGCAGAGCATATTTTTGGCATTCTTTCTATTATCTTTTGCAATGTTCTGGTTGAGGTCTTGTTTCATCAACTAAATAAAGATATCCAAAGTTTGTTTTGATTGATACAACACATTTTTCTAACATTTCTGTTGAGTTCATCCCACAATAGCTCAATCCATGTATTTCATTGTTTTTTTCTTTTCTTTTGATGCAATGTAGTTTCAACTCAATTTTGAAGAATGTTTTGGATCATTATCTTGCTGAAAAACTAATTCTGGACCAATGATTATCTGTCCACATAAAAAAGCATAATGCTGCAATATTCTGTGATAATATTTTTTATCCATTGTAACTCTATTCTTACCAGATCTCCAAACTTCGTCACTGGCAAAACATTCCCAAACTATGAACGAACCTCTAACATGCTTCACAGTTGGTAGTAAACATTAAATTTGTCATACGTTGACCAACTAAACAATGAACGTACTGCCTTCGTTTGCTTCTAAGCTGCTCAAATATTGACTTGTCGGTAAACAAAACATTTGACCAGTTAACATGTTTTTTAGCCCTATTGCAGATGTTTAAGTATGTTTTGTTTTTTCAAAAGAGGTTTTCTAGCAGCTACACAACCTTTTAAACCATAGTCATAAAGTTAGCGCTGTACAGTAATTTCTGACGAAGTTTTCTGCCTTGTAGCATTCAATTCCTCACAGATTTCAGGTGCTGTTCGAATCTGCTGTCGCTTACTTTGAATGCAGATAAACTTATCCTCTCGTTTGGAGGGTATTCTAGGTCTCCCTAATCATTGACGGCTCTTATTTTGGCTAGTTTCTGTCTTCTGTTGCAAAGTTCTGAGAACAGTGGTCTGGGAAAAATTAGTTTAAGAGGCAACTTGTCTACTTGAATAGCCTTCTCCATGAAGTGCAATAATAACTACACCTGTTTTGACACTTATTTCTAGTTTTTGACCCATATTTCTGTAATAAATTGTATAAAATTTTTTTTAACTTTTCTTCTTTATATGTACCAGTTATTCTGGCAAATTAAGGCTACTATATCAATATTTTGAAATTGTTATGTACATGAACTTAATTTATAATGAACCTTACAAAAGAAGATGAAAAGTAAATTGTTTATAAACCAAAAATTAATGAAATTTTTTAAAAAAAAAAAACTTTTTTAGAATACGTATTTACATGCACTTTCGTTCATTTCCTAATCAACTACATAATAGATACAAAAAGAAAAAAAGAATGAACAACTCAAAATGGAAACAGAATTTTGCGAAGTTTGCTGATGTTCATGTTTGATAAATTATATGTTTAAGTCAGAAACATTTTAACTATTTTTTAAAGTTTTGAAATAAATACAAGTGAGTCTAAACTTTTGACCAGTACTGTATATACATATGTATATATATACAGCGTAAAGTCGCGTATCCGGAATCGGTGGGACTTCCAGAAGTCCGTATAATACACCCCCAAGGTAAACAAAGCTTAAAATGATTTAATAAACGATCTGAATCTAAGAAGCAAAAAATAAATAAACACTATTTTTAAGAGGAATAATGTTTCAGCATTGAAATATCTAATCAATCAAATATAAAATATTGGAAAAAAAATATTATTGCTGAAAATATGGAAAACGAAAAAAATTTAACAGTTACGAAAATATTAATCCGCCATTTTGAACTAGAACGATTCAAGCAGGAAGGGGAAATTCTGGAACAAAGCTTAAAATGATCTAAATCTAAGAAGCAAAAAATAAATAAACATAATTTTTAAGGGGAATAATGTTTTAGTATTAGAATATCTAATCAATAAAATATGAAATATTAGAAAAAAAATATTATTGCTTAAAATATAGAAAACGAAAAAAAATTGACATATGAAAATAATAATCCGCCATTTTTAACTAGAATGATTCAAGCAAGAAAGGGAAATTCCCGTCATTCATTAAGGTGGGTAGGTGGAGGAGAAAAATTCATTTCCTCCTTATTTGTGAAAGAAAATAAGTGTAGAGAG